GGTCAATATGTCGACCGATACATCAGTTGAGGGGTGCACAAATTACACATGATCCAATTTTTTTTCAGGCTTTAATTTCACAACTGCTTAAGTTGTGTATAAATGCGATGATTAATCATGTCTTCATTTCTTTCTCCGCAGTTCAAATATATGATCTTTCATATATTCACTAATTTATTCTATTGGAAAGATCGTTAACAATAAGGCATTATGTACTAACTTTATCTTCTTTTCTTACAGAAAATTGAAGAATCTGGACATTACAAGTCAAATATGGTTCGCTTTTGCTATAATGCCATTTCTGATTATGAGTGCTTGCCTTCCACACTGGAACATTTTTTGGAAAACCCTCTAGAGCTGGCCTGGCTTGATTTATCTTTTAATGACCTCTCTTCCATTGATAAGGTAAGTTGGTTTACTTTTATGGCTAAAACAGTTTACTTTTGATTTCCAGTCTGTACTGCGCACTCTTGAGTGTTTCTTTCCATTGTGTTTTATTTCATGTAAGTCCTCACAAAATGTAACGTTTCATAACAACTTACCTGAAGCAAATTCAAAGTTTCATGCCAACTGCAATAATAATTATTGCAGTTGGCACGAAACTTTGAAATATTTGCTTCAGGTAAGTTGTTATGAAATGTTACATTTTGTGAGGCCTTACATGGAATAAAACACAATGGATGCAAAGGTAGCTTTATGCCTTGTTCTATGTTCTTATCACTATTAACCCCTAAAGGTATGACAAGGCCCCTGTCCTTTATATATGAGTCCCCCTTCTGGGACAAGAGAGGGCCTGAACTGGACTGCATGTATACCCTGTACCTTATTGGGTGACACAACTGGTTTTATTTCTGTTTTTCAGGTTCTGCTACAGTATCCAAAGCTTAAGATTTTATACCTCCATTCAAACGCCATTGAAAAACTGTCAGAAATTGACAAACTTGCTGCACTTCCAGAACTTATTAGCATAACTCTGCATGGAAATCCCATTGAGAGCATTCCAGGCTATAAACAACACATTATTTCAACTCTACCTAAACTCAAGACTTTGGATTTTATACCCATTACAAATCAAAACCGCAGAGACGCCCAGACTTGGAGGGTCAAGTTTAGGAAGAAATAGTCTAATTGTTAGATAGTCGAGTAAGTAAAATTGGTTTTGAATTCATTTGCTGGCGATAACTAGTGTGCATATGTGGTAACCAAATGAAACTGTTAAATAAATATATCCTCTTACTGACTTAGGGACTTTTAAATTAAGAACTATATATGCCAGAGGTTCAGCTGAAGAGGTTGAAAGACAAAATGGCCTGCATAATGTTAAGTCAATATTTTCCTATGCAAAGCAAACTGCCTTTGAAGAGCTCAGTTGTAAATGATATCAGATTCTAACTGATGTTTGTGTAAAGACTGAATCTGCAAGTATTTGTATAATGTACTAAGCTTGTAAATAAAATTATTTTAATAGCTGACTTCATTAATATGTAAGTAAAATGATGCCATCAAATGAATATATTGACACAAAAATTTGTACTGAATTAATAGAAATTAGTCTGCCAGCTTCATTGACAATATATAATGAAAAATCAACTTCGTAAATGCCACAAAGCAAGGAACACCATATATATGTTTCCTTCCGGAAAATGTTTTTTTAAAAAAAAAAAAAAAAAAAATTTCCAGACGCCAGCACAGAACTAATCTAATTTCTCAAAAATAATTTTATGCATCAATGGACTCGATTAAAATCAACTTCCTCCCGAGTGTCCAGCTGTATTATCAAGAGTTTATCATCCGTTAGTATGAGTTAAGATGCAGCTCCAAAACACTCTGATAAATGAAATCATTGTCAGTGGTTTGCCTGGCCACCAAAAGTTGAACTGGTGGTAAAGAAAAGTTTCACTCATGCCCCAAAAAAGGTGTGTAAAGTGGGTGGAATTTGAACCTTTGACAACTGACGTCTCCTCTTAATAGTGTGTAACTGCCCTGCTGAAAAAAGCCCACCAATGGACCTGATTATTTCATTAAAAGAAATTAAACCACACCTCAATTTATCATGCCAAATTTAGTCAATATGTGAAGTTTCATTAGAATCGATAGCAACTCATAAAAATATGGGACCCCTAACTTGCCAATTTTTTACAAAGAAATGTATGCTGGGGAGGG